TCATCTCCTTTAAGAAGTGCCTAGAGGGTCATTCGAGGACGAATGTTCCCAAGGGGGAGATATTGTAACACCCTGTATACGAAAGAGGGAGACCTAGAAATTTTTAGAATTTCCAGGGGTCACCCACGAGGGCCATCTACACCCCGTGGTTGGACCCACGCTCCGTGGGAAGCCTTGTGAATGAAGCCCCAAGAAACTGTCTTAGGCAGTAACCACGACTGGACCCATGCCCCGTGGATGGGTCCACATCTCGTGGTTCAAGCCATTTTTCCAGTGTCTCAGAACCCCGAACCACGCCCAACCAATACGGGCAGTAGGTCAACCTACGCCCCGTGGTCGGGGTCTCGTGGATGGGTGTTGACACCGAATTTTGATCAACTTCTAACCCTTTTTGGGAATGCTATTTGATTAAATACGTATTTTTTAAAACATATTCGAGTTTAAAATTTTAATCAATTTTGTCTTAAAATTATATATTTTAGTATGCATGATTTTAAAAATTATTGTAATTATTATCAAATTATTTTTATCAATAGTTAAACTCGAAATAATTATTTTACTTAAATATTTTAAAATTCTAAGTGTGTTTAATTATATAAAAATATTTTAATATGTGTAGTATTTTATTAATTGAAAAGCATTTTCTTAAGTTTTCTCCAAATCATTTAATTTTTATCCCATTTTGATCTAATTCCTTTCAATCCTAGCCTCTTCCTAATCCAATTCATTGCAATTCAAGCCACCTCAATCCAATTTCGTTTTTTTTTTCAATTATAGCCAATCTAATTTCAATCATAAAGAAACTCATCTTTTAATCTGAACCGTTCATCCTTCTTCAATAAATCTCGGTGTTTTATTACAAAAAACGATCAACGGTCTGAATCCATCCAAGCTATTCTTTCCTACTCTAACCTAAAAGACAAAAACCTTAAAAAAAATTGGCATTCTCTTCCTTTCCCTTCTCTCTAACGTTGCCTCCTCCATCTGTATCTCCTCGCCTCTTCTTTCCCTCCTCCTCTCCGGCCAGCAGCAATGAGGACGAAGCCAACAGCTCCCGCCGCTCCAAGTAGTGATCAGTGAACGGCAACACCAGCTCCAAACAACAGCAGCTCCAGTCGAACAGAAACCAGCAGCTAGGCGCAGCGAGCACTGACGATGCAGCTAGGCGCAACGAGCACTAGAGATACAACAGCAACCAACTTGTCCCTTTCTCTTTCACCAGTGAAAACCAACAACGAGCAGCTCCAAACATTCCCGACCAGCAAAAGTCCGTTCAGCGTACTCCGGTAAAGTCAAGGTTGAGTCGACTCTAAATTTGAGAGGTTGATATAGTCAATGACGGATCTTCTCAGATCCGTCCAGGTTCATTCTCCTGATTCGGTTATATGATTTCTCAATTTGATATATGATTTTGCATATTTGTATTTTGTGAAAATGTAATTGCTATGAAATTTCGTCCCAAACATGAAACTTTTTGATCTGTCAGTCTTGTTTCATTAGCGAGTTAATATTTTACAGTTGATTTTTAGCCTGTTTCGTTTGAGTCTTAAATTGATGGAGCTGTTAATATTCATCTTTAAGTGATGCCTTAATATCTTCCCCTATGCTTGACTGATTTCGACTAGATTTTGCATTATAAATTTTTCAGTGCAGATTTTTATATGTTATTAATTAATAGTTGTTGTAAATTGATCCCTCCTCCCTTAATTTTTGTCCTAACTTACCTATCATATTCTTGGTAAAGTGTTGATTGTAATTCGTTTGTGGACGGATTTTACTCCCTTTGTTTAAGGAAATTATCAAGCTGTAATTCGATCTGGCTTCAACTTTTAAAATGGGATTTCATGATTTTGTGACTTTTCCTTAATTTATTCACTGTTATATTTAGATTGTTACATGTTTATATATGATAGAGTATGCTTAAATTGATAAGATAAATTATATGGAAAGACTTTGATCATTCAGTAAAATTTAACAGATTTTGCACTTGTTTATATTTGGTAAAAAATAAATAAAAATAAAGACTAATTTTGGTTCCCTTGTGATTAAGGAAAACAATATTATATTGATCCCTAAAATAATTACTTTCCTTTGATTTGACACCTCTCATCTAGTATATAAGAAAGGGTTTCTTATTCACTCTTGACTACACACAGTTTTCCACTCACGCTTACACACTTGAACAAATATGAAACTCACTTCATGCTTTAACAAATATAAAAAATATACTCTCTGTTGCCGTGTTACTGTTGTGGTAAACTTGGAGCTTTCTTTTGTTGTGTTGTTGTTGTGTTTTGGAGATCTTGCTAAATACTTCATTGCTGATAAACATATTCTGCTTAAGTGGTTGGTTGTTTCACCCTTAGTTAATTCTCATTCTACATTATTTTAATTATCGTTGTGTGTTTAAATGAATAAAAGGAAGCATCCGGGTCAGTTCTTTTTCCCTTTCTTGATATGTGTGATGTCATATACGTGATTTCATAGTCGTTGTGTTGTTATATTTGCTACTTGATTTAATCTGTGTCCTCTTTGCTTGTATATCTTAAAATAAATGATATTATGTGTCTTTGACATTATACTTGTGTTTGTATCTTTTGTTATCCTTTAGTAGGTTTGAACACAAGTTCAAGATATGGAGAGTTGTCATAGGAGTGAAACACTATTTAATTTGGTTTTGTATATTATTTAATTTCTATTATTGTCTTGTAATAATTTGTAAACTCTAACGCTCTATCATATATGAAATGATTTGGGGGATCGCCTAAGGGGGGAGGGGGGAGGGGGATTACGTGCAACTTGTTTATTTTATCATAACTTATTTAGAAAGCATGCCTATAGGATTGTGATTATTTGATAGTTTGTAACATCGCTTTAGATCTAACTAAAACAAAATAAAATTACTATTGCTATTAATCCCATATCTTATTTAAGTATTGTTCAAAGTTTATCACGTGTTTAAACTTTATTTGTCCGTTAGAATATAGTTAGTTAATTTGCATGACCCCTTCTCCATTATAATAATAAATAATGCGTGATTGCTCATTGTTTCACTTAATTCAACCAAAGTTCCTCTTATATAATAAATGAATAAATACATGAATATATTACAATCTGTTTTGTATTGAAACATTATGCCGTTATTAGATATCATGCCTATAGGTTTTTCTGAATATTATTATGATTTTCAGCATGTTCATATTTAGAAACTATGCCTATAGGAGCCATGCATACAACCTTTCAATAGCCTAGAAATCTTGTTCATATGCGTAATTAAATAATTTCCAGCATGTTAAATAATTGAAATAAATCTATTCACATTTTCTGCCCACTGGTAAATAATTTCTGCAATGCATTTATTTTCTAACACCAAAAATAAGATAATAAATTGCCCAGCATGCTAATAATGTCTTAAATAAAATCTGCTCATGTCCAATCTGCATGATGAAATTATTTTCTACACTTAAACATTATTCTACTATTTAAAATCAATCCATTTTGCATGAATACTTGTTCCGCCACTTAAATTAATTTTCTGCATCTGCCACTTGCTGCCCCGATTAAATCTCGCTCGAATTAATTAATTTCTGCACAAGATACATAGCGTTTGATACATTACACATAGCGGGATACATAGCGTTGTGCACGGGATACATAGGTAAAATAAGGGATTTTTGAAAATTTTGAAATAAGTAGGGATAAATGGATATTAAGGTAAGTAAATGAGTGTAGTTAAGTAATTTGTCCTATTGTTATTCATAATTATTTTTCCCTAGGGTTGACTTACTGTTGAGCGTTTTTGCCTTCTTTTTCTCAATGTATTCGTTGGGAGTGGATGAGTTGTGTGCCAAAAGTCCTCAATTAAGTGTATGAGTCATTATTAGTACTTCAATTGGTTGCAAAATTTTTAGTAGTTTAATTGATTGACTATTTAATTTTACTTTGTTGATAAGAATTTTATTTTTCACCTTGTAATTCACTTTATCATTTCCCCTTGCCCTCCCCTACCCCTATTATTATTATTTTTAAAAGAGAAATGTACTGAAAATATTTTTCAACTTGGCTCGAATTATTAGTTTCATACAACCTTAAAAACATTCTTTACATGACTAACTAAACTTAAATACACCTCTGATCTTGCAATATGATTATATGAGTGAAAAACACTCCTAGATTCTCGCCAAGTTTAGGGGTGTTTTCAACACTGCTCTTGACTTTTTATTAAGAGTCTCATGTTCCTACAAGAGTTTAAAACGACTTGTTATATATGTCCTGTGGCAGATCAGGAGTGCATGTCAGTTAGTCAAGTAGAAAAGTGTTTTTAAAATTGTCAATAGTTGAAACCAATAATTTGTGCCAAGTTCAAGAATGTTTTCAATACTTCTCTCTTTTTAAAAAAAAAAAGAATCTTGGTACATTTTCGAAAAAATAAAGTTAAAGAATAGCTTCTTTTTTCTTCAAATTGGGGATAAGGGACGTGGAAATGAGAGGAGATTACAACGTGAAGAATCGAACCCTCACCAGTCATCAATATGGTGGAATTTAGGTAGCCAACCAACTGAGGTACTAGGATTATATCCAAAGAATAGCTCATAATTAACCAGAGCCAGCTAACTAAGTAAACTATTTTTTCAAGCAATGTAACAATAATTTTCTTGAACATCAAGTTGGGGCCAGCAAAACTTACGTGTATTATATAATATTAATTAAAATTTGCGTGTGGAGATTCTACAAAAACACAACTCAATTGCCCCTTGAAATGAATCTTAGGGTAATCTCCAACAATAAAATACAATTAACAAGTTCATTATTGCATCTCAATGACTTTTTGGAATCCTCTTGGAGCCATTACTACATTATGTTACTATCTATTCAATTTATTAATCCCATTTTCAACTCTTTTGAAAGCTCTAATATTCCTTTATATACATGATTCTCTTTCCATTGTTAATGTAGGAACCACAAACAAGGAAAAAATAAAAGAAAGAGCAGTTGATAATATGGGTATCTGCGGACTCGTTAGTTGTATATCCTCTACATCTTTTGAGATTCAACCTGTTGATTTTGGTAATGAAAATGTTGTTAATTATGATGACAACAACATTAATGGGAACCAACAAGTAATTGGTTCTGTTTTTTCTCAACAAGGAAACAAAGGAATCAATCAAGATTCTGCTATTCTCTATCAGGTTTGTCATTTTACAACATGTTTACTTAGTTTTTGAATTATATGGGATATCTAAAGATGGAACTTTCCTTTTTATGGCAGGGGTATGGTGTAGAAAATGGAGTTTTTGGTGGAGTTTTCGACGGGCATGGAAAGAATGGACAAGTAGTTAGTAAGTTTGTTATGAATAAGTTGCCATCTTTGCTGCTGAAATATATACTTTCTTTGCCAAAGATCACTTCTCCGAAACAAAATGTTAAACTTGTTGATGAGGAATCAGTGAAGAACAAGAATTTTAACAAATGGAAAGAGGCGTGTTTGAGTTCCTTTAAGGTGATGGATAAAGATATTAAAAGTCTTGAGAAATTGGATTGTTCTTGTAGTGGAACAACCGCTGTCGTTGCTATAAGACAGGTAATGAAAAAAAGTCATCATTTAGAAATTAATCAAAATTTCATTTTGGGGTTTGGAGAATCTAATTAGAACTTCATTGGTTATAGGATGATGATCTGATTATCGCGAATCTTGGAGATTCTCGAGCTATACTAGGAAGAAAGACAGAGGAGGGAGTAATTGAGGCTGTTCAGTTAACTACTGATTTGAAGCCTAGCTTGCCTTGTAAGACTCTTTTTTTTTTTTTGTTTCGTAATATTGACTTGACACACTTGGCATAGTTGAGTTCCAAATTGTGTTTACTAGTGCCTAATCGTAAACTGTTTGATGCATACAGCTGAAGCAGAAAGAATAAGGAACTGTGATGGTAGAGTTCTTGCATTGAAAGAAGAGCCACATATACAGAGAGTGTGGTTACCCCATGAAGATGTTCCTGGATTGGCCATGTCACGAGCTTTTGGAGATTTCATGCTAAAAAACTATGGAATAATCTCTAAGCCTGATGTCTCTTATCACCACATTTCACCAAATGACCAATTTCTTGTTCTAGCAACTGATGGGGTAAGCCTACCTATTTTAAGTATGTACTAGTACTAGTATATTTTGTTCTGTTTGTACAAGACTTGACATGTTTATTTTCATTGTAAATAAAAATAGGTGTGGGATGTGCTGAGCAACGATCAAGTCGTTTCCATAGTGTGTGCAACAAATAATGCAGCAGCAGCCGCAGAGGCAGTAGTACAAGCTTCTTTAGATGCATGGAAACAGAAGTTTCCAAACAGCAAGAGAGACGACAGCACTGTCATCTGCCTGTTCTTGCAATAACAACATGTTTCTCCTAAAAATAATACTTGAGCTATATATGGCTATAAGCAAATACTGGCTTTTCTTGCAATCGCCGCAACTATGTCAGATGTTTGGAAGCTATTATTTTGTACACTTAGTACTAGTATATATGGTGAATCAAACTTAATACAATTGTCACCTATTATGACAAAACATGAAGATTGTTATCCATCTTGTTTAAGTGTTTAATCAAGAACTGTGGATAGCTAGTTGTCTTGAATGTATGCAACTTTTATTGCCAAAAGTAAATGTTAGATGTTTTCACTGTGTGAAAATTTATCAGAAATTTTGAAGTCTAAGAAAAATAAGTCATAACTTATCTCGAACGTTGAGCAAACACAAATTTATTTATCAATATTAGTTGTTCTTATATTCTTGGGCTTACTGTTTTAGTGTTTAACTACCATTGAAATAAATCTATAATCTCTTTGTGAACTCAGAAGACAAATCATTGAGATAGAACAAAGAATATAAGGAGTAAGATCTTTAATTTAATTAGTAAAATAAAGATTTGATTTAAGACTAAGATATCCATATACCTAATGTCTTACTTAATTACAAAACGGAAAGATATTCATGTTGGTTTATCACATTCTCGCTCAAGGATGTAGTTGTGATGCCAATATGGATAGACGATTAGATGCTCGATCAAAAGACCATGCTCATATTATTAACCCCGTAAATCAACAGTTAGATGAATAAAGTTTTAGTCATTTGGTAGAGTGTATTAACAAAAATAATGCTTGCATTAGCATTGTGTATTAGTAGTATTTTGTTTGGTACCTTTTTTTCATGCTATGTATAACTAATGCAAATATTAGTTATACACTCTATAATGTATTGGGGAGTGTCTTACTAATACCATGAGTAATGCAAAGGGATTTAATGCATGCATTAGCATTTTAAAGACACAAATACCCCTCAAAAGCACTTTTACATCATTTTCACCATATGTGTGGAGGATATTTTTGTAAATAATTATTTTTGTACAATACATGCTATTTTTAATATACCAAATCAAACAATGCATAAGAAATAATCTATGTACAATTAATGTAAGCATAACTAATACAAGCATTACTAATGCAAGTATTGCTAATACATTCTATTTGGCATTATTTTTATACACTCTACCAAACGACTAGTATAAAATCAAATGCTTTACATGATTGCTTAGTAGAGTCGTAAACCTGGAATTCCTCTCAAATTATGATCACAATCATTTTACTTAGCTTGCTTTCAAGTCTTAAAATTTAAGTAGCTATAAATAACAACCACAAACTCTTCTTGATTACTTAAACACTTGTTTAATTGCAATATGCACTACAAGAAAAATGTGAATTACATGGGGATTTTCGTGAAAATTAGTATGAAAATCTGTAGGAAACTTATTTTCTTGCAATTTTTTATACTAATCCCCAAGAAAATCCCCATGTAATTCACATTTTTCTTGTAGTGATTAGATAAACTAGATTCTTGCTAAATCACAAGTTCCTGTGGGTTCGCCATTTGACTTTTTGAATCACCACTTTATTACTTGTATGATCATATAAACTTGCATGTACATTTGGAGCGAACATCTGCCATATGTGATTTAAAAAAAGGGATTAAAAAAGAGTAATTAAGACGCTTGTATTAAAACATAGGGAGTACAAGTCTTTTGCTCAATTATTATGAAGATGTGGTACAATTTCCGTACATCTCTCAAAGATGCATTTTGCATATTTTTTCTTGATAAGATATCTGGCTCTTGAACAAGCTGTAATAATTATTCAACCGACCATACAATTGTCAAGATAGGAATTTTTGAATATGAATAAAAATGATTTTAATTATTATTATCGAAATGATGAGTCATATCTCCCACTACACATCTCCACTCAATTATAGGGGTCGCTTGGTGTGAGGGATATGAATAAATAGTCATGGAATAAAAAAATAGTCCTATGATAATATTTTGTTTTCTTGTTTGGTTGTTATTTTTGGGATAACTTATTCCACCATTTATAATATAGTGATGTGATAAGTTATCACATATACATGGTGGGATAAGTTATCTCAGGATTATTAATCCCGGGATAACTTGTTCCCAACCAAACGACCCCTTAAATGATAATTAAGTCTGATGCTTAATTATTCACATTTTAATTAAAGATTAAGATACCATTAGTCAGCTATTTCTTATCAACTTTGTACGGCCAGCTGATCATAGCATACCTATATATCCTTTGCTAAAAAATATTTTTTAATGTTGTATGTAAGAAATGAACAAATGCTTGGTGAAATGAGCATTTTTAGTTTATACCTTATACTATAGGCCATAAATAAGAATTATCAATTTGATTTCCTACTGCAAGATGATTAGATGAAGAAAAGACCAAGCTGTTTAATTAGGAACAAGTTTAATTGGCTTAATAATCATAACACTTTATTATTATATAAGATAAAAGTGCTTGATAAGTTTTCAAGGATCTGAAAAGGCATCTTTTCATCAAGTATTCCTTTTTTCATCTTTTAATAATTGATCACTTAGTTTTTATTTATTCTTATTATTAGATATAGTCATTTTCAATGTATTTTTTAAAATATTAAGTTTATTATAATAAAAAATTTATATAATAAAATTATTATTTGATTTATTATTCCTTAAAAAATGTGTCAAGTCAATATTGAACAAGTAAAAATAACCCGTCATCTCTATCAACATCTATTTGCTTTGGTACCGCTAATTATATAGCTTATGGTATATATTTTTATTCCATTAAAAATCCTTACGTGCAAGAATGAGACATTAAAATTTAAAAGCAATAGATTCCAAAAGTCAACACAAGCAAAATGAGGCAACATGTCTAATGGAAAATTTTAAATTTTAAAAATTATATCGAGAATAATTGGAAAGGTGAAAACAATATCATATATAATTTGATTATCATGCATGAATCCAAAATCTTTATAAATAGGGTTTTTGCATGTTTTATTTGAGTTACTACTTCAAGTCAATTTTTGAAATTTAATTTGTACAATATTTAATATGAAATAAATTAAAGTAAACAAATAGTCCGGTTGTAGTAATCTAAACTTAATTTGAGCCAAAGATTTTAAGATGTTAAGGAGCTAAAAATGTCCTTGAATCATAAAAAATAGAACAAAAGTAATATTCATTTGAGAATCGATAAATTAAGAGAATAAAGATTTGATTCAATTATGTTCATATCCTATTCAATGATCCTGCATATTATATGTTTGATTAGATTTTTACTTAGAAAGTTAGAATATGCAATGAGCATATTTCTACTACCATTACCCTGTTGAAAAATAATTATATGCTCACCGCTATCCATATAAAAAAGAATTTCCTTATTCTATTTCTAATTGAGACATTATATTGCTTATCCGTTTTTTTCTTATAGATATTTATTAAGTTTTTGCTCCATTATTATGAAAATGATGATGCATTGACCGTAACAATTTCCGTACATTTCTCATAAAAGATAAGAAAATGAAGTGTTCTTAGTATGATATGACGCATGAATTAAGGCATTTGTCATCATAGTGTATTTAAAAAATTGAATATAGTCAAACAAGTTTTTAATTAAATACGAATAAATGTATAGGAATTCTAATTAGGTATCCATTACTATCAAAAAGTCCTCTCTTTTAGTATAAATTAATTCAATGAGTGATCTCCCATTATCCAACCACAAAATTAAGCTCCATGAATATCACATTTTAGTTCAAATGATGGGATAAAAGTATTGTTTAGAGCTACTACTTATCAACTTTGTAGGGCCAACTTGTTCATAGCCTACTCATTCTTAGCTAAATATTGTCCTCTCTATTTCATATTAACTCCGTGAGGCAATACACATGTATTAAGAAATTCATTTAGAGACATAATTTAAACATAATTTTCACTATTATCCTTTGTGAAATGATAAATATTAAGAATCATGTAAGGACAACATATAAATAGGAATGGAGGGAGTAAAAAAAGAAATAAAATTCTATATACGAGAAATGAATAAATGTCTGTAGAAATGATTATTTTAAGTTGAAAAGAGGAATTATATCTAGTTGCTTCCATATGCCATACACTAAATGTCATATAATTAAAATTTTAATGTAAATTTTATAAAATGAGAAGGATAATTTTCTTGCTTTTGTCATGAAAATATTTGAAATTCAAAATTTTCCACTTAACCTACCAATTAAAAATCTCTAATTCTAGCTACTTTCTTTTTTATTCCATGCTATTGTTTTTTTAGCATGGAAATCATAAACACCACAATACTTAACATGATTCTGATCGATATGTGATGGAGGATAGTCAAAACTTTATTATCAAAGGAGAAAAAAAGTTATAAAAATAGTGGAATCTCTCTTTAGGAACCAATTATAGTTATGGAAATAAGTCTAAAACAAAAATAACCCTTTCTATTCATGATGGGACTGTGACATGGTACTATATGATTTTGGTGACATACCTAGACCAAATAATAATAATTAAGATAATAATTTGGGAAAAAAGAAAGAAAGAAGAAGATTTGATGGATGAATTCGGAATATGAAATAGTAAATAATTTCCACAACTAATCTTTATCCTAATTTTGTGTAGAACTAACCTTTTTCAATCTGCGAAGAAATTAGTGTAAACAACTTAATTAACACTAAAAAAAGATTTTAATTTCTCACTAACCTCGATTAGAACTATGTTATATTGCAGCATCCACTGATTAACGGGCTATTGTGTTATATGTACTGTCGATTTGATTAATTTTCCACCACAAGATGGAGAAAAGATTTAAGTTCTTTCGAAATTAAACTTAATTGGTTGGTTGGTCGTGTGGGTGTGTTAAATTCATTTATTTTTGAAGTTTTAGAACACACAAAAAAATACGTAAAAAATTTCTGAGGAGCAACAGAAACAATTTGTTTTGCCTTTATTTCTCCTCACTATTACTGAAAAATACGAGTTAATATTTTTTTGTCTTACATAATAATATCTTTAGATAAATTTCTTTGTTTATTTTTTTTAATAGTAACACATGTCATGATACTTTTTCTTTTTTCGTAATTAACATTCAAAGGCATTTTAAATAAATATTGACCAAACATAATTAGTTTTCTCCAAAATAACTTTTTCTTAAAAATTATTTTAATAAAAGTGCTTCTTTAAATAATAAAGAGTTTTTGATAGCTTGGCCGAACCAACTTTATTAGAATCATGACACTTAGTGTATATATAATAATTAGACAAGTTCAATTCTTGATAAGCTTTCAACAATTTGAAAAGGCATTTTATAATTATATTCATTCCTCATAATATTTATTCATATTTAGGCGATGCCGCTGTGGAGTTAAGCGTTATTAAGAAATATTATATTATTCAGAAAGAAAAAAGGTAACCTAATATTGTATATCCTATGCTAAATTTTGTATAAGATTAGCTCTCTTTCAAATGCCTATGAAACAATGCACTATGTTGTGATAATTTTAATATTATTTCTCTTAAAGATAAGACACGTTCAACTGAACTTTTCTTGATAAGACATTTGACGATGAAATATCATTAATTAGTCAGCTACAACTTATCAACTTTGTTTGGCCAAGCTGGTCATTGCCTACCTCATTCTTTACTCAAAACTATTTTTTCTTGATTGAATTAAACGAGAAATGAATAAATAACGCTTGTCCAATCAATTAAAAGAGGAATATAATGCTAGTTGTTTAGTAAGAACTACTTTTATTAAGGGCATCTCCAACCCAAACATCAAATTTTACATCAAATTTGGTGTCGACACTATTTTAGTGTAAATCAACTCTAACCCACTGCATCAAATTTTACACAAAAAAATAATATTTTCTCTCTCTTCATTATTATATTATTATTTCTTATTTCATAAAACATTCACCATATATAATTCATATTATTTTCTTTTATAGTCGTTTAATATAAAATTATTTTATATCATAATTTTTTAAATAATATAAATTGCTAGCAAATATTATACATAATAATGGATAATGCAAATAAAAGTGAAATCATTAATGAAATACAATTAAATAAACATTACATAATTGAAAAAATATATTTTAAATTCTACATAAATATTCAACTTTAAAGATCACTATGGTGCTCCCATAAATGCTCTATTGATGCATTACGTAGTTCGAAATGAGCTTCTTTGTCCTTTATTTTTTTATGTTGATAAAGAAATTGTTGAAATCGATAATTTTCATCTATTGCCATTTCTACAATCGGAGTTGGACCTTCCGACGCATCTTGAATTGGTGCATTAAGATCACGTTCATCCTCAATTATCATGTTGTGCATTATAATACATGATTTTTTTTTTGGTTTTCCACCCGGTGTCCGGAGCCCACATTGGAGCTCCGACTAAATCTAGATCGCGCTCTGCAGGGCCCATTTAGGGGTGGAGCTCCCATGTAGCACTTCTTTTCTCCAAAAACGTGATGGCCCTGCGATAATTGCAAAACGAGATTGCTAAACTCCAAATGCTAACTTTTATATCTAAAATTAATATTATAAAAATATTACATAAAAAAATAATTAAATATGCAAGAGATTTAATTAAAACATACAATTTATATAATGTTTAATTAAAAGTTTTGTATGATGAAATAATATTAAAATATTCAATAAAGTGAATTGGTGTGATGAATAGTATAAATGGTATATATGCTCTAGTTTTTGGACAGCAGGGGCACCAATGTCCCAAAAGTATGACGGAGGGTATTTGCATACCATTTACGATAGTTCGGGAATATATTTGTCCTTTTTCCCAAATAAAATAAGATTTTTAAAAATTATGATTTAAAATAAGTCATGATATTTGTGTGACTATCAATTATCTCGTTAAGCGTAAAATAAATATTTTAAAAATTCAATCGTGACTACTAAACAGTTATTCTCCAAATAATTTTCCAAGATCTAATACTATACATAGTTTAATAGGGGTAGTATAATAAAATATCTATATTAATAATTATGTTTTTAATGGATATGCCAAATCAAATAGTAAAAATTTAAAATGAATGGAGCGTAATATTGAAAAGAATACAATCACTATTAATATCGGAAAAGAGTCATTTTTTTAATCGACTAAAAGGCAAAAAGTTGCGGTATAAATTGAAACGGAAGGAGTATCATTTGATTTCTAAGACACAGGAAAAACATCACATGACTTGTATATGATTGGATGAATTTCTTGATAAGCTTTCAAATATTTGAAAAGGCATCTCTTCTTATTTGTCAACATATTAAATTTATGCCGTGGCAAATAGGAATCATAAAGAAATATTATATTATTGTTTGATTCTCAGAATATGAACAAGTAATCTAATGTCAAATCTATTTGTTTTCCAAAGTCTTTGGTTCCTTCTTATTACCATGACAACATCCTTACTTGTTGGAATGAGTCAACATTAAAATTAAAATTGTAAGCAAATGGTTTTAAAAAGTCAACACACATTCAAAACAATGCAAGATTTGTAAAACTAGACTTCCCAATTTAGTCCTTCAAATTACTCTCTTCGTCTCAAATTATGTATCGTGATTTGTAAAACTAATTATCTTAGCTTGTTTATTAAGTATTTTAGAAGTTCAAGATAAAATTAATTATATCTTCTCATTTTATCTTTAATTGTAATTGTTCTGGAAGACTATATACCTTAACTATAGGGTAATAACATAAATAAAGTAAATAATTAAAAAAGAAATATTATATATATCTTAAGATATAAATAAAAATAAAATAGTCATACCATTCTTAATTAATATTTTCGGGGCGTGTAATAAAATAAATACGACAGATAATTTGAGAGGGCGGACAGTATATTTTCCAAGGTTTAACTTAACACTCTAAAACATCCTTAGGCTTCTTCTTGGAAATTAAGATTCATCATTATTCATAAACTATAACCTGAGGTGTTAAAAGCTGAAGTCTTACCTTTATTAAATAATTAAAGTGTGCTTATGTTAATTAATCCTACAAGAGTACAGCTCAGACGCCCCTTAAAGTGAATCTTAGGGTAATCTAAAATAATACATCACAATTTTAAAAGTGAATTGTTGAACCTGAATCAGTTTTTTCTAATCCTTGTCAGCCACAATTATTATTCAGAATATTCATTAATCTCATTTTTCAACTCCTTCCAATAGTCTTACAATTATTTTATATAAAGGATTCTCTTCCTCCAATTGTTAAAATAAGCATCACAAATAAATTAAAAAAAAGTAGTTGACAATATGGGAATCTGCATATCCTCTGCATCTTTTGAGATTCAACCTGTTGATTTTGGGAATGAAAATGTTGTTCTCTATGAAGACTACAACATTAATAGGTACAAACAAGTAATTGGTTCTGTTTTTTCTGAACAAGGAAATAAAGGAATCAATCAAGATTCTGCTATTCTCTATCAGGTTTGTCATTTTGCAACATGTTTACTTAGTTTTTCATTGACATAATGCGTAAACATGATCCTTAACTTGGTTTCAACAGACAACTGTGCCCTCCAACTTTGAGTGTGTACAAATAGACACTTAAACTTGTATAAAATTGAACCAGTAGACACACGTGTCCTACATGACATAATATATGGGGTATCAGTAGTTAAAAGGTCATTGTTGTCAGTTGATGCCAAGTTAAGAGTCATGTTTATGTATTATACCTTTTTCATTACATGGGGTATCTTAAAATGGAAACTTTCCTTTTTATGGCAGGGGTATGGTGTAGAAAATGGAGTTTTTGGTGGAGTTTTTGATGGACATGGAGAGAATGGACAAATAGTCAGCAAGTTTGTTATGAATAAGTTGCCATCTTTGCTGCTGAAACTTACATTTTCTCTGCCAAAAGTCTTTTCTGTGAAACAAAATGTGATGAGAAGGAATTTTAACAAGTGGAAAAAGGCTTGTTGGGGTTCCTTTATGGTGATGGATAGAGATATTAAGAGTCTTGAGAATTTGGACTCTTCTTTCAGTGGAACAACTGCTGTCGTTGCTATAAGACAGGTAACGAGAAGAATCTTTCTTTGACCTGATTATCGCGAATATTGCTTAAAGTTTTGGAGAATCTAATATAGAAAATGTTATAGGATGATGATCTAGTTATCGCGAATCTTGGAGATTCTCGAGCTGTACTAGGAAGAAAGAAAGAGGAGGGAGTGATTGAGGCTGTTCAGTTAACTACTGATTTGAAGCCTAGTCTGACTTGTAAGACTCTTCTTTTCATAATATTGACATGACACGCATGGCATAATTCAATTTCAAATTGTTCTTACTAATGGTCTATCGGAAACAGTCTGTCTATCTATCTCATCTGTGAGGTAGAGGTAAGGTCTGCATACATTAAACTCCACTATGTGGAACTACACTGGATATGTTGTTGTTGTTTACTATTGACTAAATGATCATAAACTGTTTGGTGCATACAGCTGAAGCAGAAAGAATAAGGAGGTGTGGTGGCAGAGTTTTTGCACCGCAAGAGCCACATATCCAGAGAGTGTATTTACCCAAGGAAGATGTTCCTGGTTTGGCCATGACAAGATCTTTTGGGGATTTCATGCTAAAATATCTTGGCATAATCTCCGAACCTGATGTCTCTTATCACCACATTACTCCGAATGATCAGTTTGTTGTTCTAGCAACTGATGGGGTAAGCCTATTTTAACTATGTACAAGTACTTGGTATATTTTGTTCTGTTTCTCATATTTCCTCTGTTTGTATAACACTTGACATGTCTATTTTCATTGTAAAAATAGGTGTGGGATGTGCTGAGCAACGATCAAGTCGTCTCCATAGTGTGTGCAACAAATAATGTAGCAGCAGCCGCAGAGGCAGTAGTACAGGCTTCTTTAGATGCATGGAAACAGAGGTTTCCAAACAGCAAGAGAGATGACAGCACTGTCATTTGCCTGTACTTGCAACAAGGTGCATCTCTGCAGAATGGTACTTGAAGCCAAAGCTTTTAGGTGCTGATGTTGCTATTTATATTAGTATATGGATGTTCACCTTTTGTTACATTATTGAGTTCTGAGTAGAATTTTTGAAGACAAATGTATGAAGACTACAAACTCATGAGACGAAATCCAAGTTTTTTTTTTATATATAAATAAAACATACCACTACACAAACATTTTGTATCAATATAATGCATTTTGTACACTCATTTGTTCACCATATCATTATTTCTTATCAAGAAAATCCAGAAACCTTGGGCACCAGGAAATACTTCTAAAATATGGCCAAGAATTTGCAAGTTTCATCAAAACCAGGGGCCGCCGAGCTACCCTCGGAGACACCTGTTCGTTGAAAAATTACCTTGTATATATAGGTCAAAATTTGGTTTAATGAATATGTATTTAAGTGTTGACACCTCTAGGTACAAGTTGAAGGTTTAGTGTAGTGGTTAACGGATTGCAAATTTTGCTCTTTAGAATTAGTTGAACAAAATAACAAGGAAGAGAATGGATGCAAAATTTAATAGATACAGAAATCTCGAGTAACGAGTGAGATTCTCCACACAAACGAACGAACCTATCAAGTTTGAGCTGACCCTAATCTAAGCTGATCGTCAATTGCAACTAACATCAACTTTTTATTCAGACCACCTCATTCCACCATATCATATGTTGAAACTAGGAGGTACTAGAGAAGAAAAGAGTAGATAAATATATAAAGTTGTAAATAATAAATGAGATAAAACAAATTGACTATATTAAATAATATTAAGGAAATTAATGTAGCATGTGTTGGCCTGAATCCAATGATATATTTCTTCGGACAAGCTTGAAGATTGCTCAAAGCTAATGAACAAGTAACAAAATTGTTAGAGAGAAATTGAAGCCTTCTTAACTCATGTATGATAATTGATTAATTAATTGACATTTCAGGATGAGAAGAGTAACATTTTCATAACGCCTAGTGTTGGTCACTGACTTTTCCTCCTTCATAATTGGTTCTTTGTGAGGCGATTCAGGATGTGTAATACACTGTACACATTACACATCCTGGATCGCCTCACAATGAACCAATTATGTGTAGTACAGTGTATTACACATTACACATACAAAAAAAAAAAGTTGATCTTATTGGAAATAGAGCTCTTATTTCGTGCATTATTTGTTACTTCTATTGTTTCTGTCAAGGTATGGTGCCATTGGAGGACATTAAACAGGTAGTCTCACGATCAGACGGTGCTTTATGCTTCGACATTGTTATTGTATACTTCCGATGGTCAGAATAGGCAGCAGGGGAAGGAGGGGCTAGCAAAAAGTTCGAGCTTTCGAAATCTCTCTTCCAAACTTTTGAAGGATGTCTCATTGTTTGAAACTAACTTATACAATACGGACAAACTTAATAGTTAACTTCAAGAGAACATCACATGTCCTTGTATATCTACCATAAAACTTTCCGTAGACACAATGTTGATTTGACTTGAAAAGCTAATTTTTTTTTTGTGAATTTGTTTGTTTCGAATGATTTAATTAATTATTTCTTAACCTTATAGTCATCATAGTTATCTGGTATTTCATTTTCAGAATACATAATTCCTTTAAAATATGGTGAGAGGGAAGGAACCTAGAACCTCGTTTCCTTGGAATGCCATGTTTGGTTTTAATCCCTCTAAAATTAGAGTAATTATAATTATATATATTTTTAATTTGACCTTGTGCGGGTGATTACTAAATGATCCTTTGATTGTGTTAAAATAATTGATTTTGGTCATTTATGTGCATCAATACACCAAAATAACAAAAATAAAAATAAAAAATGGAAAACATGAGTGTATAGTACGGATGTAATAATGACATGAAAACTTGACTAACATGAATTGTAGTGTAGTAGTGGGATTGCTGCCCCCTTAATTAGAAGTTTCAGATTCGAGCTCTAGATATGGAGAAAATTTTGTTAGGAGTGCCACCCCCAAATAGACAATGCAATGCGTGATCCAGACATTTAGTCGGAGCTCCAATATGGGCTCTGTGCACCGAGTGGAAACCAAAAAAAAACATGAGTCCGGATTTAGTCGGAGCTCCAATACAAACTCAGGACACCGGGTGGAAAACCAAAAAAATGACATGGATTCAGATTTAGTCGGAGCTCCAATACAGGCTTCGTACACCGAGTGGAAAACCAATTTTTTTTTTACATGGATCCGGATTTAGTCGGACCTTCAACACAGACTCGGGACACCGGGTCGGAAACAAAAAATTGGCATGGATCTGAATTTAACTGAACCTCCAATATGAGTTTCAATACAGACTCTGGACACCGGGTTAGAAACAAAAAGAATGAGATGAATCAGAATTTAATTGAACCTCCAATACGGGTTTTGAACACCAGATGGAAACCCAAAAAAATGACATGAAAAACTTGTCGCAAGTGTGGAGAAATTTCTTGTAAAAGAAGGGGAATAAATCTATTGCAATATTTGTCAATGTCTAGATATATATTTCATGTTTTTTTCCCCTTTAGACCTTTGAAATCTACGTTGTCTACTTGTCTTGATCATAGTACGTCTCTAGTGTTGGCTTAAAGGAATTTAAAGTCCTATATATACTTTTCATACATCAATATTACCATACAACTCAATAGTCCAATTATCCAATTTGTTTGTTAATTAACCATAAAGCACAATACAATGATATTTAAGTACAAAGTATGTGTTGCACTTTTTGTTGTGCTCTCAATTTGGGCCAGCATTGAAGGTCGTAGTGTCTCTAAATTCTTAACTGAAGAAACTGTAGGGACCAAATGGGCTGTCCTAGTTGCTGGCTCTAATGAATGGTGGAATTACAGGCATCAGGTTATTAGCTACGAGCGATTTAACAACGAACTTAGAAATGTTGTGTTAGAATTGAGTGATGATTTGTTTTGTCATTTTATTGATTGATTTCAGGCTGATGTATGTCACGCTTACCAATTACTCAAGAAAGGTGGTCTTAAAGACGAGAATATTATTGTATTCATGTATGATGATATTGCTAACAATACTATGAATCCTCGACCTGGAGTCATCATCAATAATCCACATGGCCAAGATGTTTACAAAGGTGTTCCTAAGGTTTGTGTCTTTTTTCCCCTTCTCTTTTCGAGCAATTCAATCCCTCGAAAATACTTAGAATGTGTGATACGTACATTGATGAGGGCCGGGGTTATATTTTGTTGGGACAGGATTATGTAGGTGAAGATGTTAATGCTGAAAACTTTTTCAATGTTATTCTTGCCAACAAAAGTGGTATAACTGGAGGAAGTGGTAAAGTTTTGAACAGCGCTCCAAATGACCATATTTTCATCTACTATGTTGATCATGGTGGCCCTGGAATTGTTTGTAAGTGATTCGATCGTCATCACACACATATATTATATGTTCATATTTGTTTATTTCATGTTTCCAAATGAACAGCAATGCCAACTGGAGTTGTCTACGCGAATGATTTGATTAACGTGTTGAAAAAGAAGCATGCTTCTGGGACATATAGTAAACTGGTAACTTCCTTCTTTCAGTTGATCTTAAGTCATTTACTCCCTTCGGTCTAATATGCTGTTTTTTCTTATATGTTTTAGGTATTTTACTTAGAAGCTTGCGAGTCTGGAAGCATGTTTGATGGTCTTCTTCCTGAAGGTTTAGATATTTATGTAACGACTGCATCAAATCCCAATGAAAGTAGTTGGGGAACATATTGTGGTGTGGGTGATGCACGCGATCCCTGCCTTGTAGAGTGTCCCCCTCCTGAGTTTAAAGGTGTGTGCTTAGGAGACTTGTACAGTGTTGCTTGGATGGAGGACAGGTAACGTAACACACAACTTTTCAAGTCCCTCATCGAGGGAAATCAATCGATTTAAAGTTTTCAAAACTATAATATTAATGAAACTTCTTCCTATATCTTGATATATTGATATACAGTGATGTTCAAGATCGACAAACTGAAACTCTAGATGATCAGTATGATAGGGTAAGAGCTTGTACTATACGTAATCTCAATTATGTATATGTTTTAACCAATTATAGCCTATCTAAAGAACGATTCATAATTATGATCAGATTGCAAACAGAACAGCAGCCAATCTAACATATGGCTCTCATGTCATGCAATATGGTGATATGGTGTTAAGTGTTGATACTCTTTTCCAGTATATGGGCGTTGCTTCGATAAACCACTCTCATGTCTCCATGAATTCTTATAAATCATCGTCACAGAATGTTGAACAACGAGAAACAGAGCTTTTCTACTGGCAATCCAAAGTATGTCCCTAGCTTTCTTTGCAACACATCAAGTCATATACTATATATAATTTAATGTTTTTTCCTTTCCAAGAAAGACGCAAAAATATAATTCTGATTCATTCTTTCTAAATTTTGGCAGTACCAAGATGCTCCCGAAGGGTCTGATGACTATTTTGAAGCTCGCGCCAAACTTATTAAAGTTGTAGCACATAGAAGTCAAGTGGACAATAGCGTAAAACATATTGGAGATCTTCTGTTTGGAGTTGAATATGGTAACAAGGCACTACAAAGTGTTCGATCTGCTGGACAACCACTAGTTGATAACTGGGATTGCCTTAAATCCTATGTAAGTATTTAGCCTAATTATAAAACATTCTTCTTATTGTTCTTTTGCACGTATATATGGAATCATGAGATTGTTTTTTTATTTTCATGTAGGTCGAGATATTTGAGGCACATTGTGGAGAATTAAGCTCGTATGGAAAGAAACATATACGTGGTATCGCGAATATTTGTAATGCTGGAATTGAGAGTGAGCAAATGACTGCTGCAACTGTACAAGCATGCGGCCCTTTGTAGAGCTGAGAGCAATTTATGTTTAGCTTGTTTAATTTGTGTCATCAGTCATGGCTGGCTGCAAAGTTTCACCTTATGTAGCTAGCAAATTAATAATCTTAGTCCTTCCTATTGGAACCATATGTTGAGTTAAATGGTATTAATTAGAGACTCTATGAATGTTCAATGTTTTTCCAT